TAGAACTACGATACAACGCCGTATTACCAATGGCCTTCCAACTATGCCGGCCGATTCGTGCACTAGTAACAGCTACAATCACGAATGTCACATTAACCCTACAATACCTACCTCCACCCCTCCTAAAACGGAGAACAGATCCAAAGTGACTACTAGTCCAAAGACCTGTCCCCTGAATAAGAGTTCTGAAACTTGTCCCGAAGTCAAAAGCCCATATACATGTAAACCACAAGTCAATCGCACTGCTGTAAAACATAAACATTGTCCTAAAGATAAAGGGACAGACCTAGTGGTTCGAAATTCCCACATGAGACGTGCTACTCGCCCTAACAGTCAGTCTTCGGTACCTAACATACCTAATAAACAGCAGTGCCTGCCCTCTACCTCTCCTATTCGGGACGCTACTATACTTCTAAAATTAAACCCTAGGAATCCTAAGAATACGGACACTCATACAATAAATACCTCCCTAAACTCTAACCTTAGGCGCCTCCTCGTTTCTAACCCAAAGCCTATACCCTTGATTGCGTACAAAAAGACTCGGATGCCTAGAGTTGCTGAGATAACTCATAACTCTAGCCTGCTTGGGCATCCGCCTAATGTTCCTAGACACCGCCCTAGCCGAAATACCTTTTACGATTCTTCGGTCTCTCGAAAACATGTACCTAACCCTTTTTTAGCGCTCACCCCCTCAACAAAGTTGTTTTACTACCTCCAGCTGTTGAGGGCGATATTTCCTCCTCCTTCAAGTCATGTTCTGCATTCTGTGATGTAATGGATGACAATCAATCTTTGCCGCTATCTGCGCCTTCTAGCTGCACTACTTTTATGTCTGGTCTTTTGACAAACTACCTTTCACATTGTCCAAAGATTTGACTTACCCCACTATACCTAATCCAATGGACTTACGAAACGATCCACCCTTATGCCCCCTAGCGACTTCTTCATCTGTTCTTTGGGGGTCACCAGTTAACTCTGACATATTCTACTTGATCCTGTCTGATTAATACAAGGTGAATTATGTGAGGTAAGTGGTGATGTTGAGTCAATAGTGTAATGTTTTGTATTGCTATTGTAACTTTTTCGAAATTATTATTAAATGGATATCAAATGTGTGTGCCAATGTGTTAGACGGTTGGATATGTTCTCAATTCCATGCTTACATAGCAAAAGGAGTACATGATGTGTAGATATTGGAAACAAGATGTGATTGGTCATTGAGAATGTACAAACGGCTTATTATAGAAGTAGGTTCCTTTCCTCTCACTGAATTCTTCTCTGAACTCATTGAGAATGGTTGTTTGTACTGTAATCGTGTTATGGAATGAAATATTGTCCTTTTACTTATTGTGATCTCTATCGGATATGATCTGTTATCTGTATTCGGTGAGTATTTATTCCATTCACACATCAAATCTGTGTGTGATAGTAGTATTAATAATAAGAACAACAATTTATGATGAATTAAAAGCTTCGAGATTCTACAACCGTGGGATCTTACCTGAGAATAAATCACCGTTAGTTTTTTACAAACGATTAAACCCTCATTTCTCAATCAATGAAGAATTAGTGTAACAAACGAAGATTCATCATCCATAGGACATACACCCAAGAAAACCATTAGTCTTCAGTAGTGATAAAGCAGTATGCTTGAATGTTTGCGTCACCCGCTACTTTGAAATGATGGTGAAGAAAATTTATAGCTCAGGTAGCTGGATGATAAGTCCGTCATTAGAACCTCAAGGGATACTGCCGGTCTTAAGCCCGGAAAAAAGGAGGAGGGTTGTGCATGGTGTTGGCAAGCCATCCCACCAAAAACTAACTTGCCAAAAGAAAGCTAACCAGAAAAATAATTCAAACCATTTTCAATCTGCCCTGGGAGTTGGAAGAAGAATTATGACGTCGCATGATGAAAGCCGAGTTCCCTCGGAAGTCACGAGGCTGATGCCTCTTCCAACATCCAGAGCAATGATTCTTTCAGGTACATGGAACCTTAGTACATTGTGGGAGAATGGAAGAATATTTCAAGTTGCGGCAGAAATGAAAAGATACAACCTCGAGGTGCTTGGAATCAGTGAAACACATTGGACACAGGTAGGACAACTGAGACTTGCTTCAGGGGAACTGCTGTTATACTCTGGTAATGGGGAGGAAAATGCTTCACACACACAAGGAGTTGCACCGATGCTGTCCAAACATGCACAAAAAGCACTGATAGGATGGGAATCTCATGGACCGAGGATCACTAAGCATCCTTCAAAACAAAGAAACAGGACATCACAATGAACGTGATCCAATGTTATGCACCTACCAATGACTACAATGACGACGTTAAAGATCAATTCTACGAAAGGCTGCAGTCAATCGTCGACAGATGTACACCAAAGGATTTGACCATTCTGACGGGATACCTAAATGCCAACGTTGGAATGGACAACACTGGATACGAAGACATCATGGGACGACATGGACTGGGAGAAAGAAACGAAAACGGTGAGAGATTTGCAAACCTATGTGTCTTCAACAAACTGGTCATCGGTGGCACAGTATTCCCACACAAACGCATTCACAAAGCCACATGGATTTCACCGGACCACACTACTCAAAACCAAATCGACCATATCTATATCAACAAAACGTTCAGAAGGACTATGGAGGATGCGAGAACCAAGAGAGGAGCCAATATAGTCTCAGATCACAACTTCCTGATCGCCAAAATAAAACTGAAACTCAAGAAGCATTGGATAACTGGGCAGACCACATCACACAATTATAATACAGCCTTTCTTCGGGATACCGTAAAACTCAATGAATTCCGTATAGCCCTCAACAACAGTTTCCAGGCCTTACACGATATACTCAATGGAGAGGAAGCAACATTGGAGAACAGTTGGAAAGGGATCGAGGAGGCAATCACTTCAACATGTCACGAAGTTCTGGGTCACAAGAAGTACCATCACCAGGAATGGATCTCTGTTGATACTCTTGAAAAAATTCAAGAAAGGAGGAACAAGAGGGCAGCAATCAATGTCAGCCGAACAAGAGTAGAGAAAGTTAAGGCACAAGCTGCGTACACAGGAGCATCAGAGCTTACAAACGAAAATATGTGGAGGATTTAGCAATGACGGCGGAAAAGACTGCAAGAGAAGGAAACTTGAGAAATTGTACGAAACAACAAAGAAGCTCGCCGGAAGCTATCGTAAACCAGAACAAACAGTAAGAAGCAAGGAAGGCAAAGTAATCAGCGACACTGGAGAACAGCGAAATGTGTAGGTAGATCAATTTAAGAAACGCTTGAATCAACCAGCTCCACTGAACACACTCAACATCGAAGCAGCATCCAAAGACCTCCCAATTGATGTTGGGGCACCTACAATTGAAGAGATCAGTATAGCCATCAGACAAATCAAGATCGGCAAAGCGACAGGACCAGACAACATTCCAGCAGAGGCAATGAAAGCAGACGTGGAAGCAACTGTGAAAATATTTCAAATTATCTTCAAGAAGATTTGGGATGAAGAACAAGTACCATCAGACTGGAAAGAAGGATACCTCATCAAAATACCAAAGAAAGGCGATCTCAGAAAGTGTGAAAACTACAGAGTCATCACTCCTCTCTCAATAATAGGCAAAGTCTTCAACAGGGTATTATTAAACAGAATGAAGGACTTCGTAGACGCCCAACTTCGAGATCAACAGGCTGGATTTCGTAAGGATCGATCGTGTACTGACCAAATCGCTACATTACGGATCATTGTGGAACAATCGATTGCATGGAACTCACCACTCTACATCAACTTCATCGACTACGAGAAAGCATTCAATAGCGTGGACAGGAAAACACCGTGGAGGCTTCTTCGACACTACGCTGTGACTGAGAAAATAGTTAACATCATACGGTATTCTTCTGATGGATCCAACTTCAAAATCGTGCATGGAGGTCAGCTGACAAGCTCGTTCGAGGTGAAGACCGGTGTGAGGCTAGGTTGCTTACTCCCACTCCTTCTCTTTCTCCTGGTGATCAACTGGATTATGAAGACGTCAACATCTGGAGGGAATCACGTTATCCAATGGACAGGTAGGACGCAGCTGGACTATGTGGACTTCGCAGATGAACTGGCTCTTCTATCGCACACACAACAACAAATGCAAGAGAAGACGAACAGTGTAGCAGCAGCCTCTGCAGCTGAAGGTCTCAACATACATAAAGGAAAAAGCGGAATACCTCGATGCAACACAACATGCGACAACCAAATCATTCTTGATGGAGATACCATGGAGGACGTTAACACCTTCACATATCTGGGCAGCATCATCGACGAGAAAGGTGAATCCGATGCAGATGCGAGGGCGCGGACTGGCAAAGCAAGGGCTGCATTTCTACAGTTGAAAAATATCTCGAACTCCAAACAACTTTCAACCAAAACCAAAATCAGAATTTTCAATGCAAATGTGAAGACAGTTCTACTGTATGGAGCGGAAACATGGAGAACTACCAAAGCCATTATCCAGAAGATACAAATGTTTATTAACAGTTGTCTACGCAAAATACTTCGGATTTGTTGGCCAGACACCATCAGCAACAACGCACTGTGGGAGAGAACAAACCAGATTCCAGTGGAGGAGGAAATCAAGAAGAAGCAGTGGAAGTGGATAGGACACACACTGCGGAAAGCACCTAACTGCGTCACGAGACAAGCCCTTACATGGAACCCTCAAGGCGAAAGGAAAAGAGGAAGGCCAAGGAACACACTACGCCGAGAAATAGAGAAAGATATGAGAGGAATGAACAAAAATTGGACAGAACTGGAGAAGGAAGCCCAGGACAGAGTTGGTTGGAGGGAACTGTTGTGCGGCGTTTGCTCCATTGTGGGTAACGGGCGTAGCTATGTAAGTAAGTGATGTAGCTGAATGATGATGACAGAGTTTCCTTCTCTGAACTGTTTGGTTTAGTTTTGGAGCTTCTGTCATTCTACTGAACTAAATCAATAGTTTGAACTCCAGGTAGAAGTAGGGTACTCTAATTTACAATTCAAAGAACGAAACTCTGCTATATCCAGCTACTGCCTTCGATTTGTAAAATGAACAGGAAGGACTCACAATGACACACGAAGTTTGAATGTCTTGTGATCGATAGTAGTTGAGCAGCATATACTTAAGTCGATCGGAATCATTAACCCACTACACTCATGGTTAGCTTCATTCCTAAATGGGCGACAACAAATGGTTAAGTACAACGACTATCTTTCACCACCAACACAAATAACCAGTGGGGTTATCCAGGAAAGTGCCTTAGGTCCACTCTTGTTTCTAATGTACATAAATGATATGTGTGATACTATAAAATTTGGAAGAGCATACGTATATGCCGATGATCTGAAAATTGTATACAGCTATAAGCCTGAAGATCTGGACGAAAATATAGCTAAGATTCAGAGTGATCTTGATAACTTAACAACCTAGAGCGAGACATGGAAACTGCCATTTAACCACAACAAATGTGGCATAATGCATTTTAGTAAGTATCACCTTGATACACCACTCTACTTACAAAAATGTAGGGTTCCGACAATTATATCAGCGCGTGACCTGGGTATTAGTTACTCTAGAAGCCTAAAATTCGAAGAACATGACTCAAATATTATCTCTGAATCCAGACGGCTGATTAGGTCCATAAACAAGAACTTCTTGACTAGTGAGGCTAAGCTCACACGCTTCAAAATCTGTATAAGGCCCTCACTTCAACATTGTTCACTCATCTTTTCAAACATGAATATCATGGACAAAATGCGAGTAGAAAATGTACAAAGAAGCTTCACCCGGCGACTGCTCGCATTGAGCCATAACCTCGACTACACAGAAAGATGCAAGCATCCTTCCCTAGAACCTCTATGGCGCCGTCGTTTCAAAAAACAACCTAATGCTCCTCTATAAACTGAAAAATGGTCTCTCGTTCGCAAAATACCGCCCAATTATGAACTAAGACACTGCTTACATACTTAGAAACAACGCATATACACTATTAACGGCAAAACACAAGAAATCATTGCGTTGTAATTTCTTTGTAATACGATACAGTCAACTGTGGAACAAGTTACCAATTACTATCCGTATTTGTGACACAACCACTAAGTTCAAGAAACTAGTCATGCTGTTGCTAGACTCTAAAGAGACATACCGACTATTCCCGGAAGTCACACAAAGTCCCCAGGCACTCTTTTATGGTCCACCAAATATTTAGATGAACTTCGGAAACGAATTATAGACTATGAACACATTGTGTTCTCCTTACCACCCATACATGTATCACGACATGATAGACGAATCCCTCTGCTCCTACTAACAGTAATAATTTACGCCTTTGAAGTGTTACCCGTGACTTTTCTCTGAATTTAAATTCCGATTATTATTTTCATATCTTCAAAGCAGTTTTAGTTTTGATTTCTAGTAGACAGACAAATTGAAAAGCCTGTAGATGCTGATCAACTACTGTCAATTACAAGGAACTCAAACACCGTGTATCATTGTGAGTATCTTCTTATTTAAGTATTAACAGTTTAACTAATTTTTATTTCCCCAATTCGTTAACATCCAAACGCCTTGCCTGCTTACCAACTTATCGCTTTACTCATTAATTTTTAACATTATTTCAACTCTTTTTTCTCCCTTTCTCCTCGTTCCAGCTCCCTGTCCTTCCTATTTCCAAACTACCTATTAACTGACTCATCTTACAAATTACACCATTCGTTTACTCAAAATCAGTGTGATATGCTATGTGGATATATTGTCTGGCAAAGTTGTCTGGATTGCTTGTAATGCTGGAGCTAGTAGAGAATGTTAATTCCGATAAGGTGTACAAAAAAAAAATTGAGAGTAGACTAGAGACCATTATTTACAACCAACCTTTAAACGTAAGAGAGCCTAACATCACAAAAGGAGGGAGGGTGGTGTATCTGACCAGCATTCATGACGGTGGGGCGATAACCTCAATCTACCCATGTCTGTGTGGCAGAACATTTTGTTTGCTTACGGCTCCTTACGATATAGCAGGATGTAACAAATCAGTGATATTGATGTTACTTTTCCTAGTTAACCTCGTCTACAACCCATGCCTGTAACCTTGCACTGGTTTTTACTTCCTACCGAGAAATCCTATTACAAGCTGGTCTGGACAACTATATTAAAAATAGAGCTCATTCATAACTTCTTGAGCCACAGAGTTAAATGTAAAAACAGTAAATAAAATAAGATAAAAACAATATCACTGATCCTAATTATAGTATTTTGTAAATCAACTTTATTACTAACAACTTGGTTCTTCTGAATTTCCTCTATTCATTCGACTAACTTCTCATTAGTTATCTCACTACTGAATTGTCTTCATTAACCTACATAAGCGCAGGTGTAAAGTGTTCTGATATTAAAAAAGTCTGAGTAAACATACCTTTGTTTTATCCATAAACGTTTGTGCAAAGCCATTGTTCGACTTTGAACATGAATATTTTCTGTTCTGCTCCTCGTCCGTTTTCTTTATTCCTCTGCCATTAATCGCTTCGCAGTCAATAAGATGGTAGTCATAACGCGACCTTCGTAACTCGCGCCATCTATTCTCATTGTACATTCCATCTATGGTAATCCAATGAATCTCGTGAAATTTTTCAGTAACTGTATACCGTTTTTGAAGAAATATGTTGCTAATGTTGACACTTTGATCTTGCTTGTAAATTGGCATGTCTCTTGTAACATGTTTGTTATTTGAGAATAAATTATTATTATTATTATTATTATTATCATTATTAATACTATTAATATTATTATTGACTCAGAAAGGAAGGAAACGCAAGTTGGAAAAAGCCAATCAAGCCTTCTGTATCCGTGCTGAGATTTCGTCAGTCACCAGGCTATCAGCGCTGATGAGACTCCTCAGATAAGTAAAGTGATCAACACGCTAGACTACTTCACTCCCTATCACTAGTTCAGGTGCCGATAAAACCCAATCTTGAAGCAACATTTTGCATTTCGAGGGGGAAAACCGCATCCCAAACATGCTTGCATTGTTGCTTATGGTAGTCAGAAGACTCTGCATTTTGTCAGCGTCTTCACCGAATAGAACTATGTCATCGGCATATTCTAGATCAGTAGGCGACATTCCTAGTAGAAGGTCAACCCCTGAGAAATCTGACGAGCTTAATGTTAACTCTAAGAGGATGTCTACGACAAAGTTAAACTAGAATGAAAGAAGTGAACAGCGCTAACAGACATAATCTGAAGTAATGAATTCTGATGCCAGTTCACCATATGCTCTCACCCGACCAGTGGTTTTCGAGTAGAGAGCTTGTATGAGGTTAATGAACTTCTTTGGTACACCTTTCAATGACAGACACTGCCACAGAACCTCACGATCCACTGAGTCGAATACCGCTTTCAGGCCCAGGAAAACAACTATTGTCGGACGTCTAAATGTGTGTCTGTGTTGCAGGACCTGTCGTAGTGTGAAAATGTGGTCTATACAACCACGTCCAGGTCGAAAACCAGACTGGTTTTCTCTAGTCTGCTCTTCACGAACACAAGTTAGTCGTCTAAGGATAATCGAGGCTAACAATTTAGAAACTATATTAGTTAGGCTTATTCCCCTGTGATTGTCGCAAGAAAACTTTTTTCCTTTCTTGTAGATTGGGACAATCAGTGATTGAGACCAGTCGGATGGGATTACGTCCAGTTCCCAGATTCTACCTAAGATTTCAGTCAACCTAGCTGCTAAAACTGGACCACCATCCTTAAATATGTCAGGGGTCAGTCTATCAGGACCTGCAGCTCGTCCTCGCTTCAGATTTCCTAACGCTGTCTCAACGTCATTAAGACTAGGCGGACTTAGGTCGATTTGCCATTCAGGATGACTGGAGATCGTGGGTAACCAAAGAGTAGCTCGAGGCCAGTTGAACTGATCCCTCAAGTGTTCTGCCCATCGATCCAGTCTCCTGGATTGAGAATAAATAATAGTCCCGTCACTTTCTGAGATAGTCTCACTTACACTAGGATTCCTTATACCAGTTTCCTTGATAAGTCGGAAAAGTTGTCTACTGTTGCCCATCGCGGTCGCCTTTTCCATCGCTTTTGCTTTCGCCACCCACCACTGTTCGCGGTCGTTAGGTAGGCTTTTTATAAGTCTGCGCCCAAGGTAACTTCGTTCTTCATCATGTTCAGAGCCCTTCTTCAGAGCCTTTTTTACGGTGTCTTTCCTACGCCCAGTAAGCTTCAAACAAATACGCGCTCGCACTAGGGCATGATCTGAATCTAAACATGTGCCCCGGAACGAGCGAAAGTCTTCTATCGAACACCTCCATCGGTGACTGATGGCGATGCGATCTAGTTACGTCCAACGTTGAGACGACTTTGGAGGTCGCCAGGTCAACAGATGCTTTTCCTTGTGCTTAAAATTAGTTTTTCCTAGAAATAGTTGGTTATCTTAGCACAGCTGCAACAGACGGTCGCGATTGTCTGTTCTTTGAGCCGCGACAACATCCACCCACGTGTCTTTCTGCTCACTTAGTCTACCTACTTGAGCATTGAAGTCACCAGCCATTATAAATATATCAGAGCGCTTAGCTTTTTGGAGGAGGTCCGAAATCTTTCTGTAAAACTCTTCTTTCACCTCGTCCGAACTGCAGTCAGTGGTGGCATAGGCAGATACGATGAAGAGGCAACGGCGATTGTCCCTATCTTTCCGAATCCTTACTGTCCCGTTTAGTCGGAAAGCGCACAATCGACTATCTGCTGATATCCAGTCAGGGAGCGCTAGTTCTGCCCTACGACTCAATACTATGCCTACGCCAGCAAGATCCCTGGAAGCAGCATCAGGGCTTCCAGATACACGAAGAGTTATTTTGACAAGGTGAAATCAGATTAATAATTTTACTGGGATCCTGTATGCGCGTTTCCGAGACGCAGCATACATCGATGGCACGAGATTCTAAAGTCCTAGCTAGTGATGCCTGTTGCCCTATTTGACACAATGTCCGTACATTAAATGCTCCAACATGTAGTGTAGAACGTGGTTTAAGGAGACCAGGAATGACGTTTCGCGAACTCGTGTCGTCTGCATTAGCTGTGCACTGTGATAAATGAATGTGACAAGAGTTAGTCGTTGAGATAAGAGAGATATAAGGGGGTGTAGTAAGGATTTGATTTTGACCAATTTGGTCTCGCGTGCTGTTACGGGTATGAGGGTGGTTGTCACTTCCCGGCTGCCCACACCGTGGAAGGTTGTTTCTTGAGGGACCTGAAAAGGAAAATAGATTAGTGTTGGTCTTAGAGACATGTGAGTATGACCGCAGAGTCCAAGGGACAACTACTTGAGGCCGGTCACGCACGGCCTTTTTATGAAAGGTATTTTGAGGATTAGCTCCGTTCTTAAAGGCCCTTAGTGGGCACCCTTACCCAAGGAGACGGAAATCCGTTAGGTAGGGGAGGTGTGACATTTTTAGGGCCGACCATTTCTGACCATTCCTTTCTTGTGAGAAGACAGCATCGTTACAGATGCTGTTTGTCCGAGGGAAACACCTTCCTGCTGTCACACCCCTCTGCAGTCAGTAGTATGACTTCGCCGTCAGACCTTGGGTAGCTACTTTTAGTCTCATCGTTCTCCACTCGACCAGCTTGGCATGATAGGACCTGCAGTAACATATGTTCCAGCCAGTATAGCTCGGTTGGGTCATCACGATAGGCAAGCCTGACCACCACGTTAAGGTAGCAGCTATGGTCGGGGAATCACATCTGTAGGACAAGTAAATCATACATAGTTTCGGACAGTAGCTCATCAGAAGTTCATATACTGAGTACCTTCAAATGTCCACGGAGAATCTTAAAACTGATCAGATTCCTAAATTTTCTCCCTACCGCTCTGAAACTCACAGCAAAGACCAGTTTAGAAGAAATAGCTACCGAATTGATCCTCTGTTAGAGTTAGAATAAGCTAAAGTACGTTTAGCTTATATAGAGAAAGAAATTGAGTTAGAACGCTT